GGCTGAGCTCAGACAAAAACCGCCCGTTGCGGTCGGTAGGGAAAGTCCTAGCTGGTGAGACCCTGACACTCCCGGGACTGGAAACTGAAAAGAGGAAACAGTGTGTTCACTGCACGGTGCCCTGCTCTGGCCAAATCTAGCTTCATACAAGGCACAGGTCCAGGGGCCGGTCCCCACCTGAGTGAAAAGGGCTGTACCTGGACCTTTCCCTCTTAATGTTTAATAAATTCTGTGTGCAAATAAAGACTCCCATTCTACACGCTCTTAAAATCAGGGGGGATAAAACTCGAGAAACAAAACCAGAAACACTGACAGCCAGAACAAGGCACAGGATACCCCCAATGATACTTTTGATCATTTGGTATTTCTGGTCTGTGTGCGCATAGGTATTAAACAACTTACATAACTAATCGACTCCCTGCCCTGCTCACTGTCTCACGTGTATGGGCCTCATCAAACAGCGCCAGTCCATCCGGTCTGAGAACCTAGGACCATGTCACATAATGGATCTCTCATCCACCCAACTCCCTCTCTCTGTATAATCCCATTAACCGACCTGTATTTAAACAGAAACCCTCCTAGAGAAGGATTTGCATGCACAGGTCACCAAGGGACATTGGAGGTTGAACGGGGCTGTCAGCAGGTGCCCCAGGTAGATGGGATCACTCTATCCAGGCCACAAATGGGCAGCTCCTCGGTACCAGCTGTTGATATTTTACCAGATGATGTTGCTGGAGAAATTCCATAGATCAGACTTGCCCAAGGAAAGGACTAAATTCAGGATTTATCAGTCAGAAATGTGTGACCTGAATGGTATATGCGAGCTAATGTATTTTCATAACTAATGTTATTATAAAAGACCTGAATGGATCTCTCTCTCTCTCTCCCCATTCACACCCACCATTCTCCGGGTGACACACACTTGCCCGGTTTCACAGTCCGGCGTCTGCCATCTTCAGGAAGACAAATGCATTTCGGGGCTGATCCAATGCCCATTACAATCGATTGTGAAGAGTTTCTCTGACTTTACTGAGCTTTGGACAAGGCCGAAGGAAGGACAATCGTTCTGGGGTCAGAGCCTCACAGCTGTGAATTCTGGAAGCTCCACGGATCCCAAGGCTGCTACCCTGACTGACGATAGCTGGTGCTCTGGCCCATTCATTCAAACAGATTAAAACATTGGTACCAGAAGGGATCTAGCGATACAATGAGATGAGGGCCAGGCACTCACCCAATTGAACCTGCAAGCCTGATTTAAATGGGTGTTCTAGCTATAGCTGTACGGATTTGTTCAGTACCCAACAACCATCAGGCAGCACTAAGCGAAAAGAAATAAGTGAGAATCCTTTCAGTTATCGATAACCAATTATCAGTTATTGATCAGTTATTGCAGGGAGCAGATGCCCAGGGTGTATTTCAGCGGAGCAGGGAGGAGCAGGTGGCTTCGCCCTCGCTCTGTGGACGCCCCCGGTGACACTCTGATCAGACACGCTCCAGTTTCAGGCTCCCTCCTTCTCCCACTGAAGTCACTGCAGAAGCTGAGCCCTCAGCGAGGAGCAGTGGGAACGCTGAGCCCGGAGTGCGGATTATGAGCCGGAAGGGTCTGGCCAATAAACTAGAAGTGACCTTCCCCGGCAGCCCATTGATGATACTCTGTGTGTGAAATTCTCCCCTTTGTAAAGGGGCATCACAAGGGTCTATCCAGCTACTGAGCTCCAGGGGTGACTTTTCTCCTGCCCCTGCAGCACTGACCCTTCTCCTCAGACTGAGGAATTTGACTACAAAACCCTTTCCAACAATACAGCCCCAAATACACATTTTCCCGAAGCATTTCTGTACAGTTTGTCTACGTCCTAATTTTCCAGATTCTCATGAACAAGGAATTTTTCGGTAATATAACTGGCTCCTAGTTTCTAATATTGACACCAACATAAAAATGGGCATGGGACATAGATAGATAGATAGATAGATAGATAGATAGATAGATAGAGGGGGTGGATGGGGATAGATAGATAGATAGATAGATAGATAGATAGATAGATA